GGTCCAGATAGACTGTTTCCTCCAGGTGCCGAGGAAACTGCTGTGCAACCACACTCTCAACAACCTTCGCCACAAAGCGGAGGTTGGAGACTGGGCGATAGTTAGCCAATACATCTGGGTTCAAGGAAGGCTTCTTAAGAAGGGGCCTCACCACCGCCTCTTTAAGGGCCGTGGGAAAGGCACCCTCCCCCAAAGAAGCTATCATTGTTATACACAGGGCTGTGGAGTTGGTAGATAAATGTTCCGACTCCGACTCCTCAGTTTTTTGTACTTCCGACTCCAGGTACCCAAAATTTCCTCCGACTCCTCGACTCCGACTCCACAGCACTGGTTATACAACACGTGATTTGCAGTATATAAACTAATTTTTTAAAAGAATTTTATTCAACTGCATCTGTACTTTGAGCTATTTCAGACCTATCTATATAATTGTATAGTTCAGTTGTATAACTAACCTATCAACAAAATAGTCATGCTATCTTATAAGAATATACTTCCTTATTAGAAATATTGTATTAGAAAAACAAAATAGGAATGTAATCAGAAATCAATGAGTAGTTTAGATATGTGCCTTGAGAGTCACAAGTTATATAAATCTATGTCTTATCAATGTTTTAACCAGTTTCCTCCAACCTAATGTTACTCAAATCTGTTGCGATTAATACTTTCTCCATAGCAATAAGTAATTTATTTTACTTTTTTCTGATTTCTTTTTCCAGTTTAGTCAAGAGTCCTTAAGATTTCCTAATGGTCTCCACATACAGCCTAGGACTAGGTTTTCATGCTCCAGTTTTTCAAGGTCACTCCATGTTGACACCTAGAAAGGCTCTTGTAATCCTGAGCTAATCTAAAATCTAAGTGTAAAATTGTGCTTGTGGTCTGACTTTAAATCATGATTTTAATTACTTTTTTCCCAGCGTTATTTAAGTACATATAGAAAAGCTTTACTAGAGAACAATTTGCTTCACAGCATCTCTTTTACTTGATGGCATTTTCTAAGGAAAAACAAGATATACGGTATGCATTTCTTTGAAATGATTCTTAACAAGTATCAATTTCATTGTTTTCAAATAATTTTATTACTAACACCAAGAAGTTTGTATTCTGGGAAGTCTCTTCAGAACAGAAAGTGCTGAGTGTTTTCCATGAGAGAATTATGTCAGCTAGTCCAGGTCAGTCTAAATCCTGATGGGTGAGTTACATAATCTGCATGGAATTTGATGAATACTTGATCTGACGTGGCTGTAAATGGAGCAATATTTGTATCCTAAAAATGAGAAAATGTTTAAACAAATTATTTCCAATCACATTTTTTTATGGTTCTAATCCAAGGCTATTTCAATATTACTTAAATGGATTCCATAGCAGAAAGTTTGTGATTCTTCTAAATTTCAAGCATAGTCAACATGTGCTACAGAAACCTCTTTCAGCTCTGTTCAGTATTCAGATGGACAGGAGATATAGGAGAAAGAAAATAGAACTTGGGCCCAACCTTGAGAGTTCTGCTATTTCTACTTAATTGATGAACTATATTTGTAAAGTAAAAAAGTCACACACAAACTCTAATATTTGTACATAAGACTTGAAAAGAACAATCTTAGGACCCAGAAAGCTGCTATCAGTCAATAAATAGCACACTTTCTACATTATATTAAGCTATGTTATGTTTTTATTATAATTTGTTAAATAGTCCTTGGGGTGGGTTTTGCCTTACCAATAATATAGATACTATATATAAATCGCATAATAATGTTAAAAATTTACAATCTTGGGCTGCATTACTAGCTGTCCAAGGCCACATGTGGCCCATAAGCTGCGGCTTGGTAACGCCTGGTCTAGGATATAGGTTCATTCATCACAAACTGATATTTTGGGGGGTTGGATGTGGTTCATGTGTGAATTTATCTGGTTGTTGTTTGTAAACTGTGATGTATGGCTTAGCAATAGTTATAGCAGTTGTGTTTAGTCAAAATATTATAGATTAACATTTATGCTTTACCATGATCTTTAAATCCACACTGATTTAAGGTAAAGCATATTTTAAAATTATTTAAAGTAAGTCAAGGCTGCTTAAAAAGCACTAAAAGCTAAGCTTTGTTAAATCATCTCTCATATTTAATGTGCAACAACATCTAGATATACAGTAGGTGGAGACACAGAATAGTGAAAGTAAGGTCATGGTGAAATAACACTCCTTTTGCAATATTGTACAGCAGGGGTGTCAAACTCAATTTCATTGAGGGTCGCATCAGCATTGTGGTTGCCCTCAGGTGGGGCGGGTGGGTGTGGCCAGGGTGGGGGCGGCCTACTGGGTGGGTGTGGATGGAATGGGTGTAGCCTACTGGGTGGGCATGGCCAGCTCTACATCATTCATCTCAAGGGTGCCTGTGGGGCCCTGGGCAGGAGTGGGACAGATCCGAGGGTCTGGCAGAAAGGGGGTGGGACCGGGGCAAGCGCCAAGGTATGGTCCATTTCTTCATTCCTCACAAAGGGTGACACCTCCTCAGCATGCACCCAGGGGGCAGGGCCAACACAGCAGGGGCTGGTTCCTTCCTGTTTCTAAATGGCCTCGTGGAGCTAAGACTGAATGCATTTCAGCATAGATGGCCACCATAAAATTGTACATTGGCTTCCGGCCAGCCTGGGCCAGGGCCAAGGCAGCGGGGGCCGTTCCCTCACTGTTTCGAGGATGGCTTCGCGGGCCACATGAAACCACTTCGTGGCCCGCATCCGGCCCCCCGGGCCTTGTGTTTGACATGTCTGTTGTACAGAGATACTAAAGGGCCACAGTTTGCAGCATTTCACAACACTTCTTTTGTCATTCTGATGCAAGTGGCAAGTTTCTATAAATGCTGCTGCTAATAGAAAATAAAGCCTTAAAATAAAATCCTGCAATATTTAACAAAGTATACCTTCAAAATTGCAAAACATAGTTTTACCAGGGATTGTTGAATAAGCCACAATTAAGTGGATCATGGATCACTAAATCATAAATCATAAAGTTTTAAAACTGCAATGGCCATGAATAAGACCGAGCACAATGAAAATTCATTCTAAAATAATTTTAGCAAAGTTTCCACTAGATGTCAGTACAAAACCTATGATTTACATGAGTGTTTTTCAAATATTACAATCGTGTAGATATGTTTGGTTTTATCTGAGAAGGGATGGAACCACTTTAATTAAAAAAGAGAAATGAGTAAAAGATAAATGCACCCTCTGGTTTATTTATTTTTCTTCTCCAAACTAAGTATCAGTTGAATTCAAATCTGCTATCAACCCAAAATTAAGCCAGTACATATGGAATCACTCAAGGTAGATAGATATGCAAGGACAGGGACTATAACACAAAAGTTTATGCCACCCTTTGGTAACTTTTTCCAATATGTTGAACCCAAACTCTTAAAAAAACGTTACAATCTATTTTAGGGTGGTTTTTTAAAGATAAACTAAACTAAAATACAACTAAAAATGAGTGTTATGATTATTTAGATTCCTTTGTTATTTTAGAATGATGTTTATCTATTTGGTGTGAGTTAAGCCATAGTGATAAAAGACTTTCAAAGGAGCAGGCCAAATAATAAACAAAAGGTCTTAGATTTGAATAAACATGTATTGTTGTACTGCTTAGTGAGATGTCTCAGAGATCAACTTTGGTTTCAAGCATGACTTCTAGCATGGAAGATATGTCACTCTGAGACAGAATTGTTGATATTTCTGAATCATGAATTATGACACTTTAATATTTTGAAAATATTATTTTGTTACAGGTTCTTTATAACTTATATAAAGAATAAAGGAAATTACAGTTTCATCATGCTCTTACATATTTAGCTTTTTCATTGTTCTTTCAATATTTGCATTGTAATACTAGGTGTTCTAATAAAGGTCTAACAAAGGTAACCCAGTTGGCTTTGTGCCTAAGGCAGGACTAGAACTCTTGGTCTGATACCATAACCACTTTACCAAACTAGCTTTCACTAGAAATTCCGAAAAAGAAAAACCTACCAATCCACAGTATGGTCCAATTGATGGATAACTGCTGTCTGGTCCATTATAGAGTTTCAAGTAATTACTAGTACAGTCGCCTGGATCATCAATGTTGATGTAAGCAAAATTAACAGTAACAATCCTTCCTTGTGGAGCTTTAATTATCCATTCACAGTCAGTTTGATTCTGGTAAGAAACTGGGTATTCTGGACTGGCGACTGAACCAGACTCGCCATATAAGATACCACCACAGGCTAGGAACAGAGAAAAGATTAATTGTTCTTTGAATTTCATGAGAGGCCCACTCTAGTCTAGATTTGGAGGATTATATATCTTCCCTGTGGATGTCATTTTAATATTTTGCAGATTATGTTTTAATTTAAGTCTCAAATAATTATTGCCAGTTGTTTCTGATTTGTGTTTAGTTTGTAAGCTGCCCCAACAAGTTTAAGTGGCAGCCAAATTGGTTGGTGGGTTAATTTATTAATTGTTTGATTGACAAAACTTAAAACATTTTTGGTACCAGCTGAAGATGAAGTCCAAGTAATTTCATATCCTTCATGGGAAAGTAGATGATCGCTTTTGAAACGTAGATATATAACATGGTTTTTAGGAAATATAGGATTGGGTAAAGTATTTCCACAGTATTTGCCAAGCAGTGGTGAGTTTATATCACTACCATTTCTGACCTTTAAAAGAATATACAAAGATTCTGTTAGTAACACTGAGATGGTCAAGGCTAAATCAGTAAGACTTTCTCAATTGATTCAAATTTTTTGATTTGCCAAGTTTTGACTGATTGAACAAATCTCACTACTTAATCAAACCCCTTTATCCTATTTTAAGATTTGTACAGTAATTTTATTAGAAGTGTTTATCACAGACATGAATTGAAGAGGCCCTAAGAACCACTCTGGCTTCATCTCTCTCCTAAAGATGACTTGGTGGGACATGGTTCAAAGAATTAGCAACTGTATGAATAACCTAATTCAAATTGAGATCAAATGTGGAAGGCAGAAGATTGTAACTTTCTGCTTCCAATAGTAATACTAATTTGAATCTAGGACCAGCATTTGCTGTGAACAGAAAAAGGATTCCATTGTATGTTGCAATGAAATCTTTTTTCTCCCAATGCAAATAGTAGGTTTAATTCCTTGATTCAAGACAGAATTAGAGTGGGGGCAATACCGGTAGTTAATATATGGGTGGCAACCCCTAGGTTTAGTTATGGCCAATTAAAAAAAATGTTGGTAAAATTCATCAATCTGGACCATGCTCCTTTTGCTTGCAATGTGCTTTTACACTATTAAGGCCATAAATGCAATTTAGTGTACTACATCTACTTTGGCCAAAGTTGGGTTGAGCTTGGTGGTAGCACAAAAATAACAGTCACATCAAAGTTGCTGCCAATCTCAAGATCAACGACAGAACTGATTTATGACGTGATGGGGACACAGGATAAATTGGGGCTCAGCAATCTTGCTAGGTGTGAGATATCATTGCATAATAGCATTGTTGCTTGAAATTTGATGACATCTTGTGCAAGATAATGAAAGATATTTAGGTTTTTTTTTTAGAGAGATCATTTAGCTTTTTTTTTAAAAAAAGAACAATGTTGGGTGGCTGCGGTCATTCTGTAGATAACTCACATGTACCATAATGTCAACTCCCATAAACCTTATGAAAGTTTGACTGTGACTTTCTCTTTCTCCCTCTTTATTCTTCAGGAAAATGCTGACAAAAACAAGTGCAAGAAACAAATGCCCTAGAGAACTCAATAAAGCACATGAAGATAAGAAGAGAGGATTAAAAAATAGTGGGACAAGAATCATACTATTGGCAGTTCTTTATGGTGCAAATATTCCTCATACCTCTAAGTAATCATATTGACATGCAAGGTCCTCTAAATTAAAGGAACTGAAAAAGAGAGAGATCATATGATTTATTGGGGATCGTAGAATAATTGTACAATCTGAGTTGGGTGGATATCGGTCAGGCCAGCCAGGACTTTTCAAATAACCAAATGACTGATTATATTCTCTGTTGCAACCTAAAATAGGATACAGAACAAACATTTATTTATTTTTAATATGTTCCATTTTCATTTTTTTAAAAAAATATTTTTAAAGTTTATATACCACTCTTCAAAATTAGGTTTTAATTCATTCCTATCCCAGCTTCCACACATATATATATATAAAAGAAAGACAAAGGAGGAAGAGGGAGAAAAATATAAAAAGAAACAATAACAATAAATATCCTTGTTTTTAAATATACAAAATAATTTTGTTTTTTTACCTCCCTTTTTCAATTAATCCATAATTCTTCAAATAATCATAATTTCCATATATTCGATATATAATTCAAAAGTACATTCACATCTTTAAACTCTTCATTTTTGTAGTGCCATGTTATGGCTATTAAATGAAAAGAACGATGCCACTAACCAAGGCCAGCTTAAAGCAACTTTGTGAAAAGATGTATGTATGAGATGTTATCATTGCAAGCATCTTGAAATTAAAGATGCTTGTTGCATGGGTGTTTATGCTTGATTCAAAACCTAGTCATATTGTTGTGAGATTCTTGAGATCAGGATTTTTATCTAGCTTTTTTTCTCCCTCTTGTTTTAGATTTTCATATTTTATGTCAGACAAATAATGTTTTCTCCTATAATTCTGTGCTAATGAAACCTAATGCCTGTAAGAAACAGTATGGCAATTTTACCTGAAGCTTGATAGGTGAATTGGAATCCATTATTAAGCATATAAACATCAGATTTAAAAATTACAGTGGCAGTTTGCCTGTAAGAATAAAAATCTAGGACCGTAAAGTTGTCAGAAGCGCAGAACCGATGGACACGATCAATATGCTCTTGAATGCCCTGAAATATGACAGAAGTACAAATGTAAAGTGATGAAACTTTATAAAAGGGTTCAATAGAATCCAATTCAAATTGCCCTCTATTGTTACAGTAATTTTTATTTTTGTTCTTCGGGAACATGACAGAGTGCTTTCACAAAATCTCTCAGACACAAAAGATAAAGCAAAGATTGAACCCGCTAGAATTCTATCATTATCCTATTTTAGTTTTTTTTTTATTTTAGGCTGAAATCACCCAATCTTTTTTCTCTCAAGATATTATGGGACTTTGCCAGCCTCCCACTAAACTGTATAAAAATAAGTCACTAAAGTAAAATTAAACCCATCAAGTGCATAGCCATGGACAAATTAGTTTTTCTAGTACTAGATTGCTCATGAACATTAACAAAAATTAAACCCATTTTTCCTCTACTTTTTCTAATACTTAAATTTCTGTGAGGAAATCCTTATGTCATTATTTCTCCCAGACTTGATAGTGATAAGCACCAAACCTTTGCATCTATTTCCCATATTACCACTGCCAAACTAGAGGCAAAGAGAAAGCATTTGAACACAAATGAATAGTCTTGGGAAGGAGTGTTTAATTTTTCCATCTTTTTACTATGGCTCTGACAAATATCACTTCTTAAAAGATCCACTTTATTATAGAGATGTGAAAAATTTATTGATCCAATAATGGACTGTTCTCTGAGAAGTCCAGAATATTCTATTTCCCTCTGAATCACGTTGCTTCTACTATCATTGAGAAAGTGCAGATCTGCATTCCATGAAATCACTGAGGCACAAGTTTAACTTGAACATATTTTTACCTTTATATTAAACTTTAATATAAAGGTAAAATATATTATATTTTGGGGACACAATGGCTCAGTGGTTAAAGACACTGAAGTTGTCAACTGGAGAGCTGATGACAGCTTGGGTTTGAGACCCAAGCTCTGCGCAATGGAGTGAGCTCCCATTACTTGCCCCAGCTTCTGCCCACATAGCAGTTCGAAAAGCATGCAAATGCAAGTAGATAAATAGGTACCACTTTGGTGGGAAGGTAGCAGTGTTCTGTGTGCCTTTGTATATAGCCATACTGGCAACATGATCATGGAAATTGTTTTTGGATGATATTATTTCCCTCAGCCAAGAAACAAGGATGAGCACAGTCAAGCAGGACTCACAGAAAAACCTTTGATTTCTTTTTATTAACTTTTTAATCCGTGAAAGAATATATTTCTAGCAATCATGGTACTAAGACTGACTTACTGGTGGTGAATCCTGGAACTCTAGATAGTTCTGAGAGCAATCTTGGCTGGGCTGAAGGTGGAATTTCAGCACTGCTAGCTTGACCTGTTGCTTAGGAGGGGCATCAATTATCCATTTGCAGAATGTAAGTGGTGGATATGCATTTGGAAAATAGGGGGATGCTGCAGTGTGCATGGCAACAGTGGCATTATAGAAACCCCCACAAAGTCCTATGAGAAGCAACAACATAACAACTTAATTGATTCTGCAAGTTGGTAAGTATAGTACTGTAATTTGGAAGTTTACAATGTAACAGCAAAGTAATTGATTTGGAAGTACAGTAATAAAACTCACTAGATATACTCAGTATAAAGAACTTGATGACTAAAAAAGGAAGGAAGGAGAGAGAAAGAAAGAAGATATAAAATGGAATAATCACTGTTACATAGAAAAATCTAAAAGCCACACCAAAATTATGTTCTATAAAATTATATCCAAGAATTTTAAGCATTTTACAGTTACTATTCTTCACTCAGATATACCTTTGAAAAGACTCAGCAGAGAAGATGGATTTTTTTTCTGTTTAAGTTTCTTAATTGCTCACTTTTAGACTCTGGTTATATTTTTGAGATTATCTGCAGTTATTCAAATTAAACAACCAATCATTTATTCAAAAAACTATTTCAGAAGAAATTTAAAATTACTTACTATCTACAGTAGTATAGGTAGCAGTGAAACCTGCTCTTTCTAACAGTGTGTCAGTGACAAACTTAACAGTCAAGAAATTGTTAGTGGAAAGAAAATAAGGTGGACGACTGGAGCCACAGAAGGTTCCAACTAAATTGGCATCTTCATTACTGCCATCATATAACTAAAGACAACAGAAATACATAAAATTAGGCTTCTATGACATGATTAAAATAAAACTGGCTCAATGAATAGGGATAAATCATCTATTTTTGATGTAATAGGAATAGATTAAATGCCCTGCTTGATCTAAGTCAGGAAACTATCACAAGTTTCTTATATCAGGATTTGAAAATAACTTCTGTATTTTGTTTGCTGCCTTGAAATGTAGGTTAATACATAAAAAATACAGATAACTAAGCACCCTCGTTCTATTTTCTGATTGAAATGTAATGAAAACTAGGATTTATTAACTTAAGATTGCCTTCACAACTCGAAAGAGATGGTATGAGAACTAGATATACAAGCATAATACAAGTAGTCTTCATCTTACAATCCCAATTGAGCCCAAAATTTATGTTGCTAAGTGGGAAATTTGTTAAGCAAGTTTTGCCCCATTTTACAACTTTTGTTGCCACATTTGTTAAGCGAATCACTACAGTTGTTAAGTTAGTAATATGATTGTTAAGTGCATCAAAGTCAAAGTGCTTCCCCATTGACTTTACTTGTCAGAAGGTCACAAAAAGTGATCACATGACTCAGGACACCGCAACCATCATAAATGTGAGCCAATTGCCATGCATCTGAATGCGACCAAGGGGATGCTGCAACGGTCATAAGTGTGAAATATGGTCATAAGTCACTTTTTTTAGTGCCGTTGTAACTTTGGTGACTAAGTGAACTGTTGTAAGTCGAGGACTACCTGTAGCACATTCATATCTTATAACATGATATAAGCCAGTATATATACTGGCTTATATCATGTTATAAGATATGAATGTGCTACAGGTAGTCCTCGACTTACAACAGTTCACTTAGTCACCAAAGTTACAACGGCAAAGTTATACACCCAAGCTGAATCAATTTTATTTTGATTTCATAAAGAGGCATTTACATTCACTTAGCAATTCCTTGTTAGTTTGCTGCCCTTGAATTCAGTTTTTCTCTTGTTATTTTAGAGCATTTTTTAAAGATTTATTTGTAACTCATAGATTCTCTGTATTCTTAAAATATGCTGTGGAATGAAGAGAAAAATAGAATAGTCACAATTGTTTTGTATACCTGGTATATGGATAATCTTACCTTGACATAATCATATTGGCAATTTTGAAAAGATGCTGCTGCTTCTAGTTCAAACGTGTCAAAGGTGAAGTTGATCAATTTGTTTATAGGTGCAGCTAAAACCCACACACATTCTACATCTTTATCATATTTCCCATCCTTGTCAGAGTCTGGAGAGCCAAAGTTATAACTTGCATTTGTCAAGTAGCCACCACAACCTTGCTGAGGTCCTGTTAAAAACCAAATGATTATTTAGTAATGTTTGATACTGTTACATTAAATGATATCTTACTTTTATCATTACTTTCTGTTTCATGCACCTCATGTAACTTTATGCTTATTGGTAACATTTAGCATGGAAGAACATTGTTTTTCTACAAAGCACACTTTTTCCACAGTGTTTTGGTTTACAGATCATACTAAACTACAGGTTGCGTAACAGTTCTTAAATTGGTTGGATGCCAAGCCAAAAACAACCAAATAACATTATTCATGAACATTGCCATTATGTTAATGTGTGGAAGAAGAAAAAAAATGGGAGTATTACTATTAGCATTGACTGAGCATGACTGATACTGAAGGCCATCTGTTGTGAGATTAATGGGCTTCCTTGTGCAGTTGATAGGCTACTTGAGAACAGACTGCTGGACTAGATGAGCTGAGTGTCCAATCCATCAGGCTACTGTTTATTTTCTTAAGCTGTTATGTTATACTATTTTTGCTCTGAACTTATTTTAAATAATCTGTATGACTGGACTATTCTTGGACAACTTTACATATGTAGGATTTTCTTAAAATTTTGGTAAATGACTGACAATTATGGTCAAATTCTTTCCCCTTTGAATCTAATCATTACCCAAATATGTCCTGTCAACATAATTTTTCGTCATTCCCATGATGTTGCTCATAAGCCATCTCATCCCTGGTCCATGAGTAAGACAGCCTTAAGTTACCTTTGGCTGTTTTGATATTAAAAGAGTTTTTTATTTTGACAGCATCCAAGAACAATCTCGATGGAATAAAATCTGTTAAGCTTTCTCATCCATTAACTTTGACAAAAATCATGGTGCTGACAGGGATTGGGAACAAATGCAATACAGGTAGTATATTACCAGGCAACAGAGACAACACATTTCATGCTGATAAAATTTTCTGCTAACAAAAGGATGGGTGAATAGTTCTCCTATGCAGTAATATAGAAAGACCCAAAGATAGTACAGAAAATAGCAGAAAATAGATTTTGTTTCATAGCAGTCATGGAATGTATTAGTGTTAAAAGTAAACACAATAGGTATTTCCTTATTATACTCTGAATATTTCCTTATTACATGAAGTGATGTAACTGGCATTCAGCATGAGATTCCTTAGCCAAATAAACCAGAATTCATGAACAGTAAATAGAAAAATATATTTAATTTTGAATACAGTTTCAATCTTCCAAAACAATTTGTCTCTTCTTTTGAACAGTAGGAGGAGCTGTTTCTTTGTTTTTGGACTACAATTCCTGTAAATTCCTCGGATTTGTCAATAGAGCTCTTGCAAATTAAGCTATTAACATTTCTATGCAGGAATCTAAATGAATGTGGTTTGTTTATCATGAATCAGCAAGACTATAGGATTTCAACTTCTGAAAGTTATACACTCATATTAAAATAAGTATACTTATGAGCTCTTTTCTTTTGTTTTTGCATAATCCAAATCACTTTGAAGTTGTTAAATCACACTAAGAGACTAACTATAATTGGTTGTAATAACTGACATGCTATAATAAATAAAGTTATAAATGATTTTATTTCTACCATAGAACTGAGGGAGGGATATATTTCAAGCAATTGCTGGGTTCACTACTGGACTAAGCCATATTTTAACCATAGTTGTTTGAATAAGGCACAAAACTGAAACTTAGCCTGGGCAACTAGTGCATAGCCACATTTTTTCATTTTATCACAGAGACGGAATATAGATTTGATTTAAGAAAAAAAATGTTATGATATTTATCAAAATATTAAGCCAGAGGAAGAACACTTCTTTAGTTGTAGTATTATACCTGATTGCCTGGAGGTAATTTTTATTCACCATAGGAGGTTAGATAAGATCTAATTAAATGACTGCCTAAAGTCAAAAATAAAGTAAAGACATTCCTTTTGCTTTACAGGAATGTAGTGTTCTTTACAAAGGTTTTCCTGTATTTTCTGTCTGAGTAAACAGATTTAGAAATTGGAGAGCATGTTAGATTATTTTCTGAAAATACAATGATTTGCAAGACTGATCTTGCAAGATGGGGTAAAGAAACACAGCCAAGGGACTGGTCATATAAAAGGCAGCTGGAATGCAGACACAGTAAGAGGCTCAGGAGAGACCCTCCTTAATTTGGGGACTGTAAAAGGACAGAGGGAAGCGGGGTGGTGGTGATGGAGAGAAGTATTTTTAGACTTGCAAGATTATGTTAATGTATCTTTACAATAAAATAGAGTTAGCTCATCTGGTCATGTTTCTTGTTTGGTATATTTGGTAAGGCTGGCAAAAAATGGCTGCCAAGAGGGACAAAAACATTGAAATCATTTAATTGAAAGTTAACAGGTGAGATTGCTCCCTATTACTCTATCCTCCCACAATGCTATTCCAACAACTCATCTGTGTTGTTTTCAGGCACACATCCAAACAAATTACTGGGCAGCAATCATTTATCACTATTAATATTCCAAGAGTGTCTTAGGAATAAAAAGGGCCTGAAATAAAGATTATGCTTGGAGCCTGTCTGTGGTGTGTGTGTGTGTGCATATTACTCCTTTGAAATGTTATGATATTGATAGGATGAACTGCATTGCACTAGCGTTGTTTGCTCCTTCACAACCTGTATACAACAACCAGATAGAGATTCTATATAGAAAGGATTTGCAGAATACTACTAAGAAACTTGGACAAACAAGACTCTGAGCAGAGTTTCTGAATCTTGGTAATTTGAAGATGTGTGGACTTCAGCTCCCAGAATTCTCCAAGCAGGATGGAAAATTGTTGGAGTTGAAATCCACAATGTTCAGGCTGCCAAGGTTCAGAAATACTGGTGTAGTGAATACACTACACCAGGGGGCTCTCTTGAGATGTTGCAGTGAAGAGGGAAACATGAGGGTGGAACCCACAGAGAATGAGCATCTGGAAATGTGACTTTCAAAAGTAATTTCTTTGTAATAGGAAAAGGGTGGAGCAGCAGTTCCAAATTAGCTCCATGGACTCAAATACATCTGGATTCTCGACAGATTTCAGATGTCTCAAAATTAACATTTTTAAGGCTAGAGTTAAAGCATTACAAAAGACCATTTTGAATAAAAAGGAGAAAGAAAATAACAGCAATTCTAGCCAAAGGACGGGAAACACCCATCATAGTTTTTCTTTGTTTTCTGCTAAGTCACAGCAATACATGATTCCAAGAATGCAATCAGAAGTGTACATGGATTTGTAGAAACAGCATACAGTAATTGCCTATCCTCTCCTATTGAAGTGAATTGTGCAAATAAAGTGATAAACATTGAATTATTATAACTCAATTTAATTTAAAATTTAATTGTTTAATTAATTTACTAGGACTACTTAAACAGCCTGAGCATTCCACTAAATAGACTATGTACTTGGCAAGCTCCCAATATAACTCATAAGGCTCTTGGCATAAAGCAGTCAAGTCATGGTTTGGGGGATCACATTCTTACTACTTATATTTTAAATAAAATAATGCAAGGATGGTCCAACTGTGTTTGTTTAACTCAATCCTGGATTTAGTCATGAAGTAAAAAAGCCCATACAGAGCAGCCAATTAAATTAGTAAGAGTCCAAGAAAGTCTTACTTCAAGAGCTGGAATGGGGGGGGGGGAGATATTGAGGTTGTGCATGTTGACTAAACTCCCTTTTGAGAGTCTATGGCAGGGGTCCCCAACTCCTGGTCTGTGCATCCATATGGGGCCGCAGCATGCTAGCAACCGGTCCGCACCAATAAGCAAAGTCCCACCTGTGGGATGCAGGCAGCACACAAAATCACGCCCCCTCCAATCTGCGGAAAAACCTTTCTCCATGGAACTAGTCCCTGGTGCCCAAAAGGTTGGGGACCTATGGTCTATGGGTCAGGCTGTGTTATAGGTTTTATGCTCCATTAGCTGCTATTCACTTCCTATAACACCCAGTTCTTTCTATCATTGAATATCTCTTATATATTTATCATACATATCTATTATACATTAGTACACACCTGCATATTATATATCTTGTACATTCCTTATACATACCTATTACTTTGATCTTTCAGCCTACTGGGTTTTTTTCAGAAAATATAATAATCCAAACAGTTTAAGCTATTGGAGAAAAAATATCTGCAGCAAGTCCAAAACAGGGTATAGCCAAAACTCAATGGATAACTTACAAGTTATCACCCAGTCAATTCTGGGTGTTTATGTCCAAGGATAAGAAACAATGAAATAGTGATATACATATGCCCATACACATCCAGAAAAATATGTATTCAAATTATGCCACATATGCAATGAACTGCAGACCAAATCTTATGAAGCAAAATTATGAAATGACAGCTTAACTGTGATATATTATTTGCAAAATATGGTATCACTTTTGACATAGATTGCACGTTTTTATAATATAGAATCATGCTTAGGATAATTTAGTTCTTTGCTCTACATAGAAATAGAAACCTGAAGAACACTGTTTTTTCTTCATAGATATGTTTCAATGGAAACATCTGCCAATGTTTATTTACCAGCAGATGTTTACAATAAAAATGTTTTCATTAAGTTATGAGAAACAAGGGGACAGACTCTTACTGCACATTTACTTTCAGATTTACAAATGACTCATCTCTCAGTAAAATGTACCACAGGTAAAAATAATTATTTCAAGTATTGTAAGATAGTTTGTGTCAAGATCTTAATGAAGATGAGAAGCTTCTTCATATCAGTGTTTAGATTACTCCAAATGAGTTTGCCATTTCTGTTTTTTCTCTTCCAAAGTTCATCTGAATATACCAACAACATTAAACAGAATACTTTAATCAGATTATTCAATCTTGCTTTACTAATATATTTCACTTACCAAATAACCCTGGTTATCCTTTAGTGAATAATTGCATTTCAGACCAGTTAAGCATATGTTGTACTACTAATAAAAGCATTTAGGAATGAAGAGAGTTCTTTTGCAGATTTTTTTCAAACTGACATGCCAAGTTTTGATTTAACCATTTTAGATTTAAGCAGACTTTTTAAAATAAATAATGCAGATGAGAAACAAGTGGTTCAACAAAGAATCTCAAACTGTTCTTGACTGGGTGATGTTGCAACTGTCAGGATTATAGTTCATTTATTTTGACTCTTGTGTGTCAAAATACACTTGGTCCTCACATGATAGCTGAAAATTCTGGAAGTTGTATCCTTAGCAGAGGGAATACAGTTGAGACACACTTCAAAAGAGGAGCCTTATTCTATGTTTTCAAGCATTACCAAATTCAAAAATGCTTAGTAACATCCATGGAAAAGATAGATATCTGTGAGAATATGGTCTGTGGCAAAAATCACAAGTTTAGAAAGATATCTTCTGTTTCAGTCTGATAGAAATTAAAAACAGCTACTAACTATGTGGGGGTAGGGAAGGGCTGAGTTACAATGACTCAGTGAAATACTATGTTCTGCTACACCACAAAGGCTTTCTATGTCAGCAAATCTGGAGTGCTTCCTTTTCAGATTTTAAGGATCAGTAAAGAACTACTACTTTCTCTAAACTCTAATAAAGGATTATCTCAAGCTGCTTTGATAGGTGTTATTTTAGCTAATTATTTTGATATTAATGTATTACAGAAAGGTTGGATTGAAAATTATTCCATTAATGTTATACAGAATTAATTTTTAAATTCAGAATCAACATTCTTTCATGGGAGCAAAATCCAAAAATTTGGCTTAGATCTAATAAATGCTCCATGAATATGAAGCTTTTCTGCAAGATCTTTTCTGTAAGATCTTCAAATGAGTTTCCTCTGATCTGAATATCATAATTTGATATGTAATCTAATACTTAATTCCATTTTGTACACCTGATAGTCTTTTCTTATGAGATAGAAGAATGTATTAAGCAACTTCCATCCTATCTTTAACCTTTTCTTCTTGGTGATTTGGTAATGAGAAGGTGATTTGATCACACAAAAATTCTGAAGAAACAGATTATTTAGATCCTTTGGAGTTGAGTTTTAGATTGAAGCAAGAACACAGACGGTATTGTTCATGTTTGTGAATGATCCGTAGTGGAGGTGCAGCCAGGACCTCAACAGCTTTTGATACTACTAAACATGATATTCTTCTGGACCAACTGCAGGAATGGAGGACAGTGTTGCAGGATTCTCCTCATGTCTCATGTCTCCATGTCCAGTTCCAGTCAGCATTAGTAGGAATATTATAGATCAAGTGCAATGCTCCTAATTTGTGGGGTGTCTTGGGGTTCAGTATCTTCACTTCTCTATTTAATATGAACATCTGTTCAAAGGGCCTCCGAACATGTTCAAGGTGCAATGTTTTCTGCCTTTCCAAGACTGAAATACCTTTCTTATGGTCATTTATAAGGAATGTTCTCTATATGAGCTGCCCTTGAAAACTATTTGGAAACTATAGCTCATACAGAACACAGTGTCACAAGCAATGATGGGCAAACATGCCACACTAATGAAACATCTAAGATTCATTGCTTATTAATTGGATTCTGGGTGCAAGTCAAGGTACAGTTTATCACCTTTAAACTCAACATGGCATAAGGCCTAGTTATTATGGGAATCAATAGTTTCCCATGATTTTTGCATAATGTGGCAGAATTGGCTCTCTCTTGTTCTCTTCATTAGGCAGTGCTCTCTAGCGATATCCAGCAGGCAGGCCTTCATTACTGCAGTTCTTGAGCTCTGGAATAGTATCCTGAGATTTGTATGGCTTCCATATTCTCAGTCTTTAAAGAGCATTAAAATTTTTAGCTGTTTTTTTTAAGGCCTTGGATTAGGAAGATTGTAGGGGCCTTTTATTTTTTTCTTTCCAGAAGACACCCATCTTTAGACATTTTAGTTTAATCATGTTTAAATATTAAGCCAACCAATAATGTATTATGGCCTAGAATTTTGAAAAACAAACAAAAAAGACTGCATGTATATCTTTTGTTTTACATTTTGTTCTCTGTTTTTAAAAATATTTATAGAATAGGAATAAAGACACGTCAGGTGATACTATTTCTTCCCTCAGACACACTTATTCTTTAGACACTTCCTATTGTCTCTCTTTGCCTTTCCTTGCCTCATGCAACAGATTGCCTACAGATCAACTACTTTAACCTGATGACTCTGTAACCATTAAGAGGTGAGCAATTTCATAACAGTTGATTGTACTTAGCATGCTAGGACCTCTTCATATAAATATAATTTTACCTATTGTCTCTCTGAAAGATGCTTCCCATCCATCGGCAGCTCCAAAGGCATCTGTCCTAAATACTAGGAGCAAGTTGTTTGAGGAACTCTTGATAGGAGAAGGAAGGATTGCACCACAGAATTTCCCAAGTAGTGGCGAAGCAATGTTTGGACCATCATACACTGCAACGTAGTCTCCGAGACAAGATGAAGAGATGTCAAGGTGAAAGCTGTTGAATCTATAAAGAAGATTTAACACACATCTATGCAAAATAATACCTGCAACCAGTGCTTTTTTTGTAAAAAAAAAAAAAAAAAGGTGCCGGAACTCACACATGTCATACAACCCACCTTGCCTACCCTACAAGGTTCCATCCAAAAAAGGTGCTAGAACTCCGTTCTGGGTGTTCTATGACAAAAAAAGCCCTGCCTGCAACTGATATAGGTTTGGTAACTAGTACCTACTTGTGAGGGTTCTGAATAAGCATTTTAAATGAGGTGTTTAAAGAACACCTAAATTAGAAAAGACTAATCTAAAGCATGATATATTTTATATCTGTAGTATAAGCTATCCTGGTGCAGCTTTGTGCTATATAAGATTTTTGGGGTGATAGTAATTATAAATCCAAATATGGCTAATATTCCTAGAAAGTATCAGTTTGGCTACAGTTGAAGGATACAGAGAGTGGTAACTGGGCCGAATCAAGAGTGCAACAGGTTCCTCTGCCCTATGATACTGGCTATAACCTCAAAATTGATAATTTTATGGAAAGACCCTGGATAATACTGCTTTTTTGATTTGAGTTCAACAATCAGTACAGTTTTACCATAATTATAGGAAACTCTTAGTAGGTTACTTGTTAAAAAAGCAAAACCTGATTTTTACTAAGCATCCTTTCCCCCCAAACAATGATGGTTCAACTAAAAATTGCTTTTGACTTACGTACTTGAGTGCCACTATTTTGTTGTTTCCAACAGTTATGTGGTATGAACAGTTCATATTGTGATGATATTTGGTGAATGAATATGTAGGACTTTTGATTTTGCCCCTGGAGACATTAAAAGTACCACCACAAGCTTTGATGAAAAGAGAGAAATGAAAAATTATGACTGTTATAATTTTCCAAGAAACATGTTTGCCAAATAGTCACATATGTAGTACATATACGCACTGGAACAATTCTATTTTTTTGGTATTTTGTTTGAAAGTTCTTAGTTATTCACAGATGCAAGCATTTATTATAAATCCTAGATTAACATTTCTGAAAAATGTAACCAAGAAAACTGCACGGACTCGTCAGTTGTCAGAAGTGAATTGAAGGCACAAACAAAAAGACATTAACCATTAGTAGATCTAAATGAAGTTATCTGTGGATCTGATGATGGGATAAATTAATGGCATAATAAAATTGTTTAATCTTAAAGGCACCACAATTTGTTCTCTTTTTTTTCAGCTGTGCATCAATTATATTAAAACAAATGTAACAATTTAGTCATGAATAATATATTAATTTAAATCAACTTTTTTGGGCGTATAACTTCGTAGAGGTATTTATAATTCTGAATGTCATGATTTACAGGGAGATTGAATCTTTACCTAACATCTTAATCACAGCATCCTTTTATTTTGCCTTTCCAGTTAAATCAACAAACAAGTGCTTAAGATAAGCTTTTAGAAATAAAATAATTAACAATAAAAGTACTTAAGTTACAAAAAAATTGATCCATATAAAATGTAAGAAATCATACCAACAATTAAGAAGATATCTCATTATTTAGATACACACACCAGAAATAAATTGTAAACTGAAAATCTGTTTAAAATTAAAGTTTTCAGTAAATGAGAAAATGTTAAAAAGAAGGGGCTAATGCAAAAATTCTCAAAGGGAAATATGTGCTGTACTGTATTTGCCAGAGACCATGCATGATTCATGTTCTGATCAATCAAGATTTAGTTAGAGATGGAGCAAAAAGAAGACTTTCCTTAATCATTGGAAAAATGATGTAGCTTCACGTGGGTTGAGATGGCCATTTTAAATGGTTTGCTGGTGAATATTTCCTATCTCCCTGCTTATTTATACAATTTCTGGGAATGCCTTTATATACAGTCAGTCCTTTGGCTGGGGGCAGTAGCAGGTTTTAACTTTTCAAAAGAGGCACAGTTGAATGATTTTTCTAGTTGCATGAATTTTTTAAGGTGAAAGTTAATGTCCTCTGCTTCAAGATCCACTTAATAACTTGCAATAGCAGAAGCTTTAGTACATTCAAGCAAGCTTCTTTTTCATTTCCCATAATGACTTGCCAAGTCCAAGACATAAAGCTTTATTCCCTGTTTTACAACTCAGTAATTGTACTCTGTTTTATAATCTTGACTTGGCAAGTCACACTTTGGCCCTCTTGACAAATGGCTGAAACCCACAACTATCCAAGTTCTAAAGAGTAGTCATCACATTAGTCAAAAACATTTGCAAAAACTCTTTTAAGGACAATGGCTATCCCAGCTTTCTGTCTCCATTTTCTGTAATAGGGTAGGATAATAGGGTAGGGTAATCTATTGAAAACAGTTTGGACTGCTCGGAATTAAAGGACTTAAACTCAAAAAATAAGAGAACAGAATTCTTAATAAGCAAGCAAATACACACAACCACTTTTTTTAACTTGTTAAGAATAAAGCTGATCAGCAACAATGTTAATTGCTGGAATCTGCTTTGGAGGGGACAACCAATTTAATAAATAGCTTCTAGTCATAAAATGTCATAAAATCAAAGGTCAAACAGCAACCAATTTGAGTGAGTTATGAAAGACTTTTTCAAGTGTAAATGAATATTGTCACACTTTGTTGTTATTTGATCTAGCCAGTAGCTATTAGAGTAACTTACTTTGAACAAAGATTGTTTATGTTCATAGGCAGTGGCTTTTTATCAAAGAGAATGCATTTTCTAATCTGCTTATTTGATAAATGAAATAGTAGTTCCACATTTGTTACCAGCTTCAAATTTATATATTTATTTCTTTGTTTATTATTTTTAACTCAGATAACTCAAAACAGCAAATGTACCTAACAAACGCTCCTATTTTCCCCAAAACAACAACCCTGTAAGGTGAGTTGAGCTGAAAGAGAGTGACTTGACCCATGGCCACCCAGCTGGCTTTCATGGCTAAGGGGAGACTAGAACTCACAATCTTCCACTTTCTAGACCAGTGCCTTCATCATTAGACCAAACTGGCTGTCATATATATTTACCTGCATTAAAAGGAGAACTAGTTTGGTGTAGTGGTTAAAGGCACTGGGTTGGAAAGCTGGAGATCATGAGCTCTTGTTAAATTTTAGGCATGAAGCCATATGGGTGATTTTGGACCAGCTGCTGTCAGTTAGAGTCAAGACTGACTTTTAGACACAGAAAAAATAAATAATAGGAACACTGCCTGAGAAATCGCCATCAGCTGAAAAGAACAAATTTTTGATCTTTGACTAAATAAGTGTTTTTCAACTTTGACATCTTCAAGTTGCCAAGGTTGAGAAAGATTGCTATAGAATGTTCAAATTAGCTTCACCACCTCCACTAAGCTGGTTCCCACTTGGAACTGTTTGTTGCTTCTTCTCATCTAAAATTTCTGGCTTGCTTACTCTAATCACCGCTTCCATCTGTTTTACCTCACTTGTCTACTGAACTGTCACTCTATAATCTCATTGTTAAAGTGAGTGCTTTGGACACTCATTTGCTCTTCTTCTTCTCAGCACCCCCATTGCCTATCACTTCAAGCCAGTATTATCTTTGTCTATGCTGTCTAGGAATTTAAAGAAAAAAGAGCCCCAAAATATCTGAAAAAAAATCATGTCACAGAAGACTGATTGAATCACTGTTATTGCCCTGATGTCCCCCCCCTCCTGAACCAGGGCTGCCAGATGTGGGTTGCAAAAAGCAGATAATTACCAGATAGCAGCAAAGAGATACAGAATGCTTTAACTCTTTGCTGCCATCTTATGGTTGATTGTATTTTTGCAACCCAGATTTGGTAACCCTAGTCTATTTCTGGGATGAAAGAGAAAGCAATATATTTCACTTACCCTACTTTGCTGTTGCCTTTAAAATACTGCCTCCCCCTCCCTCCACTTATATCAAAACAGAAATTAAGAAAACAATATCCACATAAGATTTTTCCAGAGTTGTGTTAACACTGTTTTAAAGACACATATGGGGATTATTGAGGAAATTTATCAACTCAAATTAAACTTGAGTTCAAGTACAGTCTGCCATTGTTATTACAATCTTGTTTTGTGAATAGAATAGCAAATTAAGCTGAATGTTTTGGCTTGCACCTACAAGCAAAGCATTTATGGCAGGTTAGTAACATTTAATAAAGTCCCAGAATACATATTCTTTTTTTAAAAAAGCTATAGTATGAATTTTTTGTACGGTAAATTTCTTTGTCATACAATTTTATACTGTTAGAAGTTAATGGGATGAAATCAGCCTGGAAAAATGCATTCTCGAATTTACAAGGAGCTCCACTCTATTTATGTAATGCCTCATTAAGTACAAATGCTGGGCTTGGCAGAGTGTTGGAATTTTGTGTTACTTATCCATTGTCGAATCAGTAAGAAAGGGTCTTTTGTTGATTGTATTTCTATGTTCAGAATGATCACTATAAGTCAATGATTACTTCAGTAACATAAACTGTAGTACCACTATATTAGATAAAAATGGCTAAAACCTCTGCTTTAGGTTTACCGTATGCTGAAATTGCAACTTAAAAATAGGCTGCATCAGACTTTAACAATTAAGTTCATTATTCCTTAAAAAGGAAGAATTTTAAAGAGGAAAATGTATCAATACTTTCTGTAATGTGAAACAAATTTTGAGAACATTTTGGGAGATATAGTTATTTTTTAAAATTGAGCCCATTAAAAAAGCAATGCAAAAATAGATTTAAGACTGTCTTATTAACTAATAATTTGACAGTTGGTCAATGCTGTATGTATACAACTAACAACAGTGCAATTGTCTTTATGAAATAAAGCATAGTGACAAGACTAATAATTACATATTCAGAAAGTTTACCCATATTTAAAGCTAAAGAGACTTACTTCTGAAATAAAATTCAAAATTTAGAGTTGCATATAGAGGTTGCATGGATTAATCCTTGGTCCCAGTTCCCTTTAACATCTTGGTCTCCTTTCTTATTTAGAAAAACCCATTTATGATATGAATTTGTAACCTCTTATAAACATTTGATTGTTTATTTTTAAAGTGCTAAATTTGTGCCTACTCACAGATTACTCAAAGGGCTATATTTGTGGCTACTCACGGATTACTCTATAAGCGATCAAAAATCCAGTGCCAACAATATGGGAGTCTGTGTAGAAATTTAACAGGGTAGATCCAACAATGCTGATAGGACTAGGGATTTTATTTCCACAAAGTGTCTGAACAATTGTATTCCTCTTAAAAATCTTCACTCCATCAAAAGCACAATATTCCAAAGCACTGTGAGCTGAAATGGAGAACAGTTTATCAATATCTTGTGGATCTATTTATCACCTATTCTAATGCTTCTTTCCACCCATATTATAGAAGCCATGTTTATAGTAATGATTAGTGATCATTACTAATAAACCAATTGCAGTAAAGAATAAAATAAATGAAGTACATTTTCCATTTAAAAAAGGCTTCTTTGTGTCTTAATTATATGAAGGGGCTTCATATGATTGAAAGAGCTTGGTCCTCCCAATATTCAAATATGTAAATTAAGAATTTGTTTGTGTGCCGTGGAATTAGGTCCATATGTTTGTCTTTAATGTCCATTTTTAATACACGGACAAATATTGTGAAAGGTAGAAAGAGAACAAATGAGACCTCAAAAACATAATTTACAAAAACAGAATATTACTAAATAAGTAACATTCACACAATACTTTTTTTTCAGAAGCTCAATCCTATATTTCTAATAATTGATTGCCATAGAAATTAATCATACAACTAAGTTGTGATCCAGTGTTTTCAGTGGAACAGTCACAAGTAATGTTGTTGAAAATGGACCTTAAGCACTTATAGACTGTGATGTAACAGAGAATAAAACATACTGATGAACATTTCTTGCCATATCATGGTTTTACTGCCTCAAATATTCATAAATTAAAGAGAAAGCAATTTAGTGTTTAAGGCTCAGAATAGTTTGCATTTTAACCAAACCCAGTTTGAAATGTACTTTTCAGAAAAAGTCAGGAAGTATAGATAGTTTTTGTGCTTTTAGTCATACTGGCTGGGAATTGCAAGAGCTATTTTGCACTTCCATAGCACACTAGCTTGGGGAAAGCTAAAATAATGGGATGTGAATGAGGTTTTAAAGAAAACATTAGCCTAAAGAAGTAATAAAGAAAGAATAATGAATTGGAAAACAAATAAAATATCCTGGTATGGAAGACTTCTTAGAAGGGGATGATTTTTGTTTACTTCTATAACACTTGAAAAGGGGAGGGGAATCTTTCTTTGTGGATAGAGACAAATTAACAACAGTTATTTTGGAATTCCACAGGCATATGTTTAAAATGCTTGTTTTTAGCAAGCTCTCTTACTCTTTGTACTTGTTTTCAGAGAAGAATTATGTTCCCTGAAAATATCTTTCATAGTAGAAGGAGCTCAAATATTTTGAACTATGGTACTACTAAGCAATCAAATCTTGCAACACAGATAATAAATAAAGCTGATGGTTTAGTCACAAATGCAGAAGACCACATTAAAGAAGAATATTAAGAATATAAAGCAATATTTTCTTAATTTTTAAAGAATTCATTTATACTTCATTTGAAATGCTAGACTTTTGATGGACTGACCTAAGAGTAAGTTCCATTAAACGTAGTACTTAGGATTTATTTCACAGGTATTTTAAATATACACTCACTCATCAATAGATACCAATGCTTGCATAGTTATATACATTTTTTTTACAAATCCCCACACAGACAAACACGTGCACACATTTGTGACCGCCCCATAATCAGTATTATTATCAAACAAAAATAATATAAAATTCATAGCCCCCCCCCAGCTAGGCTGCTGAGGAAATCCTTTTAAATTACTCAGAGTAAAAATATTTAATAGATTGAATTACCATTTTTAATGAAAATTGTGCCATGGCTTTGACAGGTTACTGACAGTTTGATGATTGCATGGAGCAATCTTACATAACTTTTCATCACAATTATTTTGGTTCACTTGCACACTAGTTACTTAATTCTTAAAAATGAATATATATCTTCATATATTAACTACTGAAATGTAAAATTAAAATCTTGGCCACTTACGCTGCAGGTCAAAATTTTCAAAGTTTAGAATTACAACATCCTGAGATCCTGCCTCTAAAAAATAATTGCAGTTCAAGTTGTTGTCATATTCACCAGGGAAATTAGGAGAAACAATGCGACCAGATGATGCTGTCAGATTTGCTCCACAACCTGCGAGAAAATATAGGATCCCAGAAATCCAATTAATTGTACTGAAAAATAATTTAAAAGAAGAAAAGTACTAAGCTTCACAAGGCCAAAATTTCTGGTTATAAGGGTGGAACAATTAACCACTGGAACAACCAGCCTCCAGAAGTGGTGAATGCTCCAACACTGGAAGTTTTTAAGAAGAGACTGGACAGCCGTTTGTCTGAAATGGTATAGGGTTTCCTGCCTGAGCAGGGGGTTGGACTAGATGACCTCCAAGATCCCTTCCAACTTTATTATTATTATTATTATTATTATTATTATTATTATTATTATTATTATTATTATTATTATTATTACTATTATTATTATTATTATTATTATTTTCAAAGATATCTAAAATATTTTTTTTATTTTTAAAATTAGGGGGAAGAAGTGCAGGATGTGCTAACCATTGTATTCATTAAACAATTTTTTCAAGTGCTTTAAGTTGTAACAAAAACATACATGTTTCCCACATTTGGGTTGGTGCAAAGACCAAAATGAGACTGTTTTGGTCTATGTACAGAATAAACTGGGGCTGTTGTAAACAGAAAGGCTTCAGCGAGGGGAACAGGAAAAATGATAAAAGATGGTGGGAAGAGTAAGACTAGCGTGTTTCATCCTGCTCTTCTGCTCAATATCTCACAGCATGCTCTCTACTCCAACATCTTCCTAGCCCCAAGGAAGATAACAGATAGACAAAACCAATGAAATGTATCACATTGGTAGATGCTGATGGGAAAGAATGATTATATATACCAACTTTCCCTACTTTCCCCATCCAGTTTTGTTTCAGCTGAAATCTAATTGAGAAGACTCCATCCTATGTCTTCAATATTTTTTTGAAGCCCATTGAAGCACTGTGGGTTTTGGTTCTGCCAAACCATGGCTGATCCAAAATGGTTCCACAGAACATCTGGAATGTGATGGTTTGTTTCAAGTTTGGTAGCTTTTTATTTACACAAATTTATTTATTTATTTATTTATTTATTTTGATTTATATCCCGCCCTTCTCCCAACGGGACTCAGGGCGGCTCACAACATATTTAAAAACATAGACATATTTACAACCCCCACCAGATAAAACCAAATTAAACCAATATTTAAAGTTGTGCAGTTAAAATTATTCTTAAAAAACCCGATTTAAAATCCTCCCTAGGCCANACCCACAGAGAAGGCCCTCCCCCTGGGGGTCGCCAGCCGACATTGCTTGGCCGACGGCACCCTGAGGAGGCCCGCTCTGTGGGAGCGTACCGGTCTATGGGAGGGAATCTGTGGCAGAAGGCGGTCTCGGAGGTAGCCAGGTCCGATGCCATGGATCGCTTTAAAGGTGGTAACTAACACCTTAAAGCGCACCCGGAAGGCCACTGGCAACCAGTGCAGCTCGCGCAGCAGCGGTGTTACATGGGAGCGACGAGTCCCTCCCAACACCACCCGCGCGGCCGCATTCTGGACCAGTTGAAGCCTCCGGGTGCTCCTCAAAGGGAGCCCCATGTAGAGAGCGTTACAATAGTCCAGGCGGGAGGTGACAAGAGCATGAGTGACTGTGTGCAAGGCGTCCCGGTCCAGAAAAGGTCGCAACTGGTGAATCAGGCGAACCTGATAAAACGCCCCCCTGGTCACGGCCGACAAATGGTCATCCAATGTCAGCCGCGAATCCAGGAGGACTCCCAAGTTGCGCGCCCTCTCTGAGGGGGCCAAAATTTCGCCTCCTATAGTCAGCGATGGAGTCAGCTGACTATGCCGAGGCGCCGGCAACCACAGCCACTCGGTCTTGGAAGGGTTGAGCCTGAGTCTGTTCCATTTCAGACAAATGGCTGTCTGAAAACAGCCATTAAAAACTTCCAGTGTTGGCGCATTCACCGCTTCTGGAGGCAGGTTGTTCCACTGGTTAATTGTTCTCACTGTCAGAACATTTCTCCTTAGTTCCAGGTTGCTTCTCTCCTTGATTAGTTTCCACCCGTTGCTTCTTGTCCTGCCTTCTGGTGCTTTGGAGAATAGCTTGACTCCCTCTTCTTTGGGGCAGCCCCTGAGATATAGGAACACTGCTATCATGTCACCCCTCGTCCTTCTCTTCGTTAATAGACATGCTGAATTCCAGCAGCCGTTCCTTGTATGTTTTAGCCTCCAGTCCCCTGATCGTCTGCTTGGGAAGACTCTCTTCCAGAGACCCTCCCCTTGCCCTCTGCTCCCCACCCCAGAAGTTCTATTTACAGGACTTCATTAACCCATCTCTGCAATATTTGGCTAAAGCGGGCATTGAAAAGCAGGGGGAAGGGAAAAGGGCCCTCCTTCCCCCCACATCGGACCAGGTTCAACTTAGAACAAGCATTAGGGTTCACGGGGGACACCCAAGGGTAAATACCAACGTAGGGAGTCGTGGAGAGGAAGACACAAAGGGAATAATCGGATTTGGAAGACCTCATAAAACCCAAGGATCCTTGTGTTTCAGCCAAGATCAACAAGCTAATATTGACAAAGAAACAGCATAGAGATGCCTGTTTGGTTGGTTGGTTGCTCTCAGGCGTGCATACATACACAACCAATCTTCTTAGTCAACACTTTCTTGATTTGGTTTTCTCTGCAGGGGACTGAGCGAATTAAGTGCCCCCGGTCTAATGGATTGACAACTGGCTAGTTGTGTTTGTGTAACGTCAGGGCAGTTATACTCATGGAAGTCCAGAGGGCATCTGTGTGGCAGGTCAGGATGCAAATACGTAGCTCACAACATATGCAGGATGCCGTTAGAACAGGCAGAAGGATCACCGTGACCTCCACAGGGCAGCCATGGAAGAGGACTAGAAGACGCATTTGTCCCATATGGTCAGTTTGGTGAGTTGTGATAAGGGGCAGATGGCCGAGCACGTGAGGCCATTTGGGTTAGTTGATGGTGCAATGCACAGGGAATGGGTTAACTCAGGGCCCAGTTAAGCTTGCTGTATAGATGCAGTCAGTGCTTTTTTTGTCATAGAACGCGCCGGAACAGAGTTCCGGCACCTTTTTTCAACAGATTTTTCCAAGTTTTAAAAGTAATTTTTGAAAATTTGATGTTTGGTCCATGTGGACTTGAATCGCCCTGTCGAGCGTGGCAGGTCGGCGGCAAAATCATTAAAACGGTGCATGTGGGCTGCGTGTGTATCGAGTCTGATACATGCGTACTTCGTCTGCACTGGTTGTGATGGCGCTGCTCGGCTTGTGATTGGTCGTGTGCTGAGTGCTTACTGCGGGCGGCAACCGTTATGTTTCGTTAACACAACTGACATGTGTGGGTGTGTGTACAGTGATTGACTAGGTGTGAAAAGTAAATAATTTTGTTGGTGAATTGAAAATCTTTTTTAAATTTTGAGTGTAAAAGTGTGACCTCAAATTTAAAAATGAAAAAAAATATACTAATTACTTCTCAACCACCGGTCCTGCTAAGAACTGAATATATATATATATACATATATATATATTATTTTTATTATTATTTATTTTTTTTATTAATTTGATTTATATACCGCCCTTCTCCCGAAGGACTCAGGGCGGTGCACAGCATATTAAAAACAAGTAACAATAAAATACCAAAATAAAATAAATAAATACCAAAATAAAAACCCCTCTAAGACCAAATTAAAAGCCAAATATTAGTAGCTGTGTCGTAATTAAAATTATATTAAAATCATCCCTAACNGAGGGAATTGCTGCGCAACCACACTCTCAACAACCTTCGCCGCAAAGCGAAGGTTGGAGACCGGGCGATAATTGGCCAACTCATCTGGGTCAAGGGAAGGCTTCTTGAGGAGGGGCCTCACAACGGCCTCCTTGAGGGCCGCAGGGAAGACACCCTCCTGCAAAGAAGCGCTAGTAATTCCCTGGAGCCAGGCTCGTGTTCCCTCCCGAGCTGCCAGTACCAGCCAGGAGGGACACGGATGTTGTCCAATAAAGCAATGCTTAAGTTTGCTTTGCTTACCAAGAATTTTAATATTATAGTAATTAAGTCTATCTAATGCAGTGTTTCTCAACATTGAAAATTTTAAGGCATGTGGACTTCAACTCCCAGAATTCCACATTCTGGGAGTTGAAGTTCACATGCCTTAAAATTGTCAATGTTGAGAAATACTGATCTAATGGAATAAAAACAGCCACTTTGATGTACTGGTTAAGGTATCAGATTAGAAACCAGGAGACAATGAGTTCTAGTCCTGCCTTAGACCCAAAGCTAGCTGGGTGACCCTTGGGCAGTCATTTTTTCTCATACTTAGGTAAGAGGCAATGCAGACCACTTCCAAAATCTTGCTAAGAAAACTGCAAGGAGTTACCAGGAGATGCCCAGGCACTTGACAGGAGTCAAGTGACTCAAAGGAGCAAAACAAAGCAAAACAAAAAAGGAGATAAAGGCTACTTCTTACTGATATATATGAACTAGACAATTAAAGATGAGTCTCACATGAATCTGTATCAGCAACTTCAGTCTGTCATGAGGCAATAGGAATCATTTGACTCAAGAGCAGATGACCGATATGGTTGCTATGCTGAGGTCTCTCTATTCACCCATTCATCCTCTAAGTCTTCTAGAGTGGAAAGCTGGGGTTTTATTTCATTTGCCAGGAAAAGAAAAAATCCTGCATTGAGACAACTAATTCTTTTCAGAAGAATGATAGAGTTGAAATAAACTTATTGGAATATTTACTGTATTTTTTAATGCAAGAAAGGTTTTTGTTTCCTTTTTTTGGAGGGAAGGACATTGTTTTGGGAGTCCTTTTTATTATATTATATATTTATGTATTCTAGAAGAATTATCAATGGATTTCTAGTCTGTAACTTTTAGAGATGCTGAAGGAAGTTGATGTTGATATCAGTTATTTAGGTCACTTTCAATATAACAAGTATGAATATCCTGTTTTAGTAAAACAATGGGAGGGGCTGCTTTGAATATGAAATTAGTTTCCAATGATATTAAAGAAGGCTAAGAAAAAAAGTTGCTTCTTGCACATTGGATAATTCCGATTGTTTTCAGTTGTGTTATATAAATCATCTGCCAGAGATGCAATTGAAAACAGTATATAATTGGGTTATGTCCCATTACTGTTACATTTTGGTTTAATTAGCAGTATTGTACTATTTGTATAATCCAAGGCTATGATAATTTTGGTCATTTGCTATGTGATGAAGAAATAAATACTTTTAGCTGTACTGGGTTTTCAAGTTGTCCATCCCTGGAACAGAGAATGAAAGCCACATTTAGTTATGGGATGCTTTATATGGGTGATTTGTTTTTAAGAAGACTCAAGAAAAGCTCTCCTTTAGAGCTACTTTATAAAGTAACTTGCCTCACCATAAAGAACAAAGCAAAGTTGCTTTGCTGCCTCCTGCTGCTTTATGTATTTCAGAAGGTCATCAAAGCAACAGGAATTGCCTTTTCTTTGAAAACAGGATCACCTCCATGCCTCAACATGGAAAATAGCTTTCTTTGTGCAGCACTGAAGCAGCCTCACACAAGAAAGTTTTGGAAGAATCTAAGCAGATTCCATAAATCAGGCCCTGCAGATATCTGTAGCAGACTCTTTGTAAGCAACTACCAATACACTTATACCCTAGGATCCTACATCATGTGTCAGTCAGTTTTGGGAATAGAAACTTAACCCAGCTTTTATCATGTCTTGGTGCTGCATTTAATGAATAGCCAAATTCATATATTGCTGGCAGTACCAGGTTAAATACATATAATTATGCATTACTGAAACACAGACAACTTTGGACTTAGGGTTATTTACCAATTTCTTTATGACATATCTACAAAATTATTATCAGATATCCTGGACATCTAAATGCTCCTGGATTTGATTTCTTATGATACAGTTTGACCAAGAATTACCATATCAACATGGATCAATTATGCAATAAGCCTGCATCTATACATCAAGTCAGTATCTCAGTTCATAGCTATATATCAGTGATGGCGAATCTTTTAGAGACTGAGTGCCCAAACTGCAACCCAAAACACACTTATTTATCACCAGGTGCCAGGTGGGTGTGGCCCACTGGGTGGATGTGGCTGTGGTTATGGCAGACTGGGTGGCTGTGGCCAAGGTGGGTATGGTCACCTCGATGTTGCTTGTGGGGAGGGATGCCTATGGGGGCTGGGCAGGGTTGGGTGAGATCCAGGGGGTCTCTGGCAGGAGGGGCGGTGGGCAGGAGGCTCGTCCTGCGGGGTGAGGCGAGGCAGGGCAGGGGTGCCCCACTGTCGCAGGGCAAGGCGAGGCAGAGGCCGGGGCGGCTGCTGCCTGACACCATTGGCCCCCGCACACAGATGCCAGCAAGTACATGGGGGCCGACAGTGTCCGTCAGCAGCCACAGCCTGCCGGCCCCTTGACCGGCGCACTCTGGGGCTCCACAGCCTGCCACCAGCAGTTCAGAGAAGCCACCTCTTAGCTGAACGGCCGGTCAACAGCTGAGGAGGTGATGCAGTGGGTCGTGTCCGGGAAAAGAAGAGCATGCGAGGGCAGGAGGGATGGGATGGGGGGGAGGGAAACCAGCCATGCTGGGATGCATCCGGCCACATGGGACCTTGGCAAGTTAGCAGGCGGCTGGTTGAAGAGGGATGGTTGCCATCTCCAGGGCATGGTGTGCGTGCCCACAGAGAGGGCTCTGAGTGCCGCCTCTGGCACACATGCCATAGGTTCGCCACTACTTATGATCCTATGAGAAAAATAATTGGAAAAGCCCTGACACGTGCATTTCATTTACCCTAGGGTTACACAGTGAAACCACTCAATACCAGCAGCAAAACTAGCAAGATCTCAGCTTAGTTTTGTTTCTGATTTAACCATGCAGCATTCTAGAACATTTAAACAATATTTATTTGAACAATCTTTAGGGGGTGAAGAGGTAGAGCTATCAGCTCAGTAACACACATTTTTGTAGCTCTTTCCAGTGTAACTATATTAGTTTTTAGCAATTTCTTTTAAATTCAGTTATACTATTTTATATGAGATTAATGTGAAGGCAAAAGCACAGATAAAGGACTTTGTATGGACTGGAAAGTTATGGGGATATGACTGTCATCCTTTTATCTATATAAATAAAAATGTAAATGTTCGTTTGTTCAAAATCTTAAATCTCCGAAAGTTCTTCACCGATTGCTTTGAAATTTTGACACAACGTTGCATTCGAATCCGCGCGTGTTTTTATATGCCTATATTATATAGATGTCACATCTGTGACAGGTAAAACATGCTTTTTTTGAAAAACAGTGCCATCTGTTGGACGTAAAAGCAACACACGCTTTTACCAGACTGAGCCACAGCAACGCGTGGCCAGGGAAAGCTAGTTTCAAATAAATTTGATGGCTTAGAATTCGCCCTTCAAACAGAAATTTAAAAAAATGACAGACATCAGAGTTCTTCTTATATGTTAGGGAAGAACTAAATGGGATTCCGGGTCAACCCAATTATTTAAACTAACTATCACCCATACCAAACAAAGGCTATCATATTCTGCCGATGTCATTAGAACTAACTCACTCGAAAAATCAATCATGCTGGGAGAGATCAGTGGAAAAAGGAGAAAGGGACGCTTTAATATCTCTTGGCTGGACACTATAAAGTAGAGATGGCGAACCTTTTAGAGATCGAGTGCCCAAACTACAACCCAAAACCCACTTATGTATCGTCAGGTGCCGGGTGGGCGTGGCCCATTGGGTGGGCGTGGCTGCAGTGGTAACGGCAAACTGGGTGGGACTAAAAAGTTCAATCAATCAATTCCAACTTTGCGAGATTTTTTTTTCCCGCGAGAAGTTGAAATTGATTGAAAGTTGGTTTTTTTTGCACATGGCGGAGGCTTAAAGCGAAAAGGTTTTATAAAACCCAGTTGAAGGCCTAGGACTGGGGCGACGGCACGCATGCCCACAGAGAGGGCTCTGTGTGCCACCTGTGGCAAGCGTGCCATAGGTTCGCCACCACAGCTATAAAGGATGAAACTGGGATGGTCATGGTGGATCTGAAGGAGGCAGAGCTAGAGAGAGGGGCATGGAGGTTGCTGATCGTTAGAGTGGGTGAGAGTTGGACACAGCTGGACAATCAGCCCTGAGGGAATTAAAACAAGGTTAAAGATAAAAAACGAAATCAGAAAAGAGAGAGAAAACAGAGTTAAAGAACAATCTTTAAATGTTACTGGACTCATGGATGTCATGGAATAAGAAAGCAAATAATGGTGTGTATTATGATGAAATCATGTACATGTTATGACTTATCTATGTCAGATATTCTGGCATAAGGGCATAACAGAAGGATTTAGAAAATATCACTGTACAAATTACTTACTGCTTATAAACGATACAGAAAACCCACGTGCTGAGATGTCCTGTGACTGAAACACTATAGTCATCACATTTCCTGGAGTAACTATAGGCCCTGGAGCTGAGTTTCCACACCCAACAGCTAATATGGTATCTTCCTGTTCCTTATTCTTTCCTCTCAGTACCTGGAGGGCAAAGTTTTAATATCTAGCTAAAGCATTAGGCTGATTTTCATTTACACTGACTTATATCCTGATCCTTAGATATAAATGAGATTATGATAAAGATTTTACCAACTCACCTAAGTGGCATCCAACAGAATAATACTGAATATATCAAAACATTCACAGATTATTCAATTCTCACAAAATCTAAATCTTTTTTATAGCTGTGGATCACAAAAGCACACAATAGGGAAACTTTATACCTGGTACCTTTAGAGTTATATGACATTTTACATATCAGAGCATGTACATCTTGAACCATTTGCCAGTTCAAAATCTCTGTCCTTTTTATTTATTTTTAAAGTTAGGAATATGTTGGAACCTTCCACGTTTTATTCATCCATCTATGTACTATCTGTTTTTCTAAACTTGAACTTCAAATCTTTATTTGGTCACAGTCCAGCACATAAAATACAGAAATCATAATAACTTAAAATAGAAGAGAAGAGAAAAGAAACACACACACACACACACACACACACACACACACATACACACACAAATATGCTAAAATGTTTGACAACAAGTTAACAAACTTAATAATGGATTTTAAAATACTAATCCAATATGTTGTGAGAGTTATATCCTGTCTTTCTTCCAGGAACTCAAGGCAATATACATACTATTACCTCTTCCATTTTTTTCTCACAATAACCCTGAAGTAAATTAGATATCTGAGGATAGACTTGAACATGATCCTCCCTGTTCCTAGGCCAAAAGCTTACCAAACATAGAACCAGAAAAAAACTATCCAATTCTTTTTTTAAAAAAGAATTACTTTGTTTGGCTTACAATAGTGTTATAGTTCCACACCAGTAATTTGGTGTGACTAATAGCAATGAGGTATAAATAATTTCTTGCTTGAAGCTTCATTTCCTAACTCTGTAACAGCCTCTCCCAAAGACAAATTATGTGAGTGATTCTATACCATAAAAGAAGTGGGCAGGGATTGAAAGGCTGCTTCCTATGCTTATAAATCATCATTACTTTCCCAAATACTTACAGTATTATCTACACCCACCTTGCAAAGTTATGTGCTTAAGTAATTTCTTAAATGATATACTTATGAATTCTTTGGTTTATTCTGTTTGCCTTATTATGGTAAACCACCCACTATCTTCGGAGCTGAACAGTATATAAATATTCATTAACACATAATTATTTTAAAATTCAGTCAGAACTTCACATTCTGATATACTTTTGAGGGACAGGAAAAATTGCTCACAATCTTTTTATGTTAAAAATAGAAAATTAAATTAAAATCTTCATCTCTATTTATAAAAGGAAGATTTAAACACAAAAAATGGCCTGGCCATTTGGGTATAGTTTCAAAGAATGAAATAGAAATGCCATTTCAGCCCCTTCATTTTTTAAGCAAAGCGTAGTTACTCAGTTCCTCATGACTTCCTACATTTTGATAAATTATGTTTGCCCTTTAGCAACAAGTGGGAGCTATGTAGTTTTGTACAGTCTGACCATTGTACAGTTTTGTACAATGATGACCAAAGTTTGGCAAATTCTTGAGAAAACTAACAGCTGTTAGCAATCATGAACATCCCCTACCCTTCAAGTGAAATGCCCTATATACATACATATATACATACATACATATACACATATACACACATACATACATACATATACACATATACACACATACATACATACATACACATACATACATGCATGCATACATATAATTGTCAATAAATTAAATATTTTTATTTCAAACATTTTCAGATATTAAATTAAAGAAACAAACAAAAGCAGACTTTCAGATGTAGATATAGATATATAAATATAGATATATACACATATATACATACATACATACATACATACATACATACATACATACATAAAAAGTGGTAACAAATTTTGAGTTCCTTCAATATTTACCCATAAAATTTTCTATAGAACTATCTCATTACAGAATCTGATGCCAAATCTTTGTACACAAATGAAGTTATGCTTGGACTAATAACAATTACTCAACTTCAAGGGAAAGAAAAAGTCTGCCCGAAAAGAACATATTTCATTGTTGCTCTAGCAGGGGGTTGGACTAGATCACCTCTAAGATCCCTTCCAACATTATTATTATTATTGTTGTTGTTGTTGTTGTTGTTATAACAGGATTAGATTTGGCATCAAAAGTATGATCCAAGGCAAAAAGTACAATCCCAGATGCAAATGGGAGAGTGAAATGTAAAATGGCAGATTCTCTAGCATATTTTAAATTTAACCATATTCTAAATTACACCAAATAGACTGAGAGATGAAAGAGCCAAAATTACTTTCCTTCATCTACACAGATATTTGAGGAACTGGGGATATGTATAAGGACTGCTCTCTCCAAAGACCCAAGGAACTTTGGATGATGCAGAACTGAAACCATTTCATTCCATTAATTTCATCTCAAAGAATGCCACATTTGGTGCCTACAGCTATGGAAGCACAACCAGCATCACAGTTATGCCTGCTGAACTTTGGGTAAGCACATGAACTACACTGACTGCAAATTTTAAGAACTGTAATCTCAAAACATTTGAAATTGAAGGATAAACTAGATAGTGATAGACTAAGAAACTATCCATACCTTCACATAACTATTCTGGCAATGTCCATTGTTATCTGGAATCTCAAAATTCTGATCAAAGATTATTTCAAAATGTTTGCTCTCATGGGTAATTATTGTCCATGAGCACCTGGTGTTATTGGGAAAGTTTTCTGGCCAATAAGGAGAAGTTATGATACCATTTTCTTTATGAAGTATGCCACCACATCCTGCAAGAATAAGGAACAATAGAATCACAGATCAATTTTTAGTTATGCAGGCAAATAAAAAACTGTAATGCATAATAATACCAATAAATTTTATAACTAAATAATAAATAAGCAATTATTTATAAATTCTAGTAATATTAACACTGTCTTCAGCTATTTAGTAATTATTTATCATGTATATTTTTTCTTGAAAATTGTTTTTATTTTGAAAATTTGAAAACCATTTTGGAAATGATTGATTTTTTAGAAATTAATTAGTATTCTGAGTTTTTGTAGATTGTGTGGATTGTTACAGGAATTAATAAAACAAGGAACATACACAAAAGAAATAAAATGTTGATTATAAATCATGAGATGCTACCATTTCATATTCAGGTTTCTGAAAAAAAGCTTCTACTGGTTATTTCTACTTTTCAATAAGTAGAATATTATCATCGTCATTATTCTGACAGATTAAAGAATCCTTGGTAGCAGCACAATTTTAAAATAATAAAATAATTGCCTGTAAGGAAAAATACAATTAAAGGGTAAAAGAATTAAGATAGTAGTTCTTCATATGCAAGATGGGTTTACAATAAGGAAGACTTCTGTAAAGGAATTCTTGATACTTTTGATAAAATAAAAAATATTCTTTAACATAGCCATTTAGAAATATGATTCTTGCCTCTGATTTATTGAAGTCTATTAAAATGGAAAGGATTTTATACCAAAAAATAGTTCTACAAATAAGAAGGAAAGAAATGATTATGCATCTCTACTAACCTAAAGAATCTGCAATCCATGTAGCATTGAACCCATCTCCTTGCCCAGAGTGGTTAGAATGGAAATGTATTAACATCTTATTTGAACCAGACTGAATGGTGCCTGGGGATGTAGTTCCACAGTATCGTCCTATGACAGGGGAAATAGGAGATCCACCATTCAGAATGGTGACTGAGGTCCTCATACAATTCCTTCGTATTTCCATCTTGAAGGCAACAAAAGTAAGCTATGGAGATACAATAAGAGAAGACTAAAGAAACAGTTGTAGCTATATCAATACAAGCAAACAAATTATTACTACTGTGTGTAAAAAAATGTAAAGATTTCCTCTGTCCAGTCATATCTGATTCTAGGGGTCAGTGCTCATCTCCATTTCTTAGTGAAGGGAGCCAGTGTTGTCTGTAGATGTTTTCATGGTCATGAGGCCAGCATGGCTATATACCTCATATAACAGGCACATCTATTTATAGAAGACAGGGGAAATCTGGATATTTTTAAATCAAAAATTCAAAAGAAAAAAAAACATGCTATATCTACAGTTATAGATTCAGCCCTAATGGTTGACCACCATTTTATTTTACATATTGTTACAACTATTTCCCAAGGATTTTTATTTGCGAATATTTAATTTATAAAGGGAAACGATATAATATGCTCAGAATACTTAATTCAATATCACCCCTTTTTCATTTGAAAAAGTTGTTTAAATAAAATCAGCATTAGCCATATTACATACATATATTACATACAGCACAGTGTATATACTCTAACAGTAATAATATTTGTCTTTTGTTAAACTTACTGCTTGGAAAAAATGGCAGCGTATGTTTGAACCCAACATGCCTTAAGCAATTAGATTGTAACCATGTGCCCTCCCCACATCTCCTGTCTTTTCTTTAGGTGGCATGCAATATGCTTCCTTTTCCAATTTTATCCCCATAATATTTGTGAGACAGACTGGAATAAGAGAGAGCAAATAATCCCAAACCACCCTACAAACTTTCATTATTATTATTATTATTATTATTATTATTATTATTATTATTATTATTATTATTATTATTATTATTATTATTATTATTATTATTATTATTATTATTATTA